TGGCCACGAGCCCAGGCGTTGGAACACACGCGGGCGGCAAGGAGGGTACTGTCTCAATGGTTGCAGCGTCCACATCGATTGTTGCCACGGATCCACACGGACCTTCAACGAGCTTGACAACGTCTCCTTCGGCCGTTGGTAGCGTCATCACGGCCTCAACAGTGACAGCGCGCAAGTTGTACGCGGGTGCCTCGGACGTTTCTTGCAAGAATGACAGGTACGACGGCACCTCCGCGACGACAGGGTCGGCAGCATCTGCCGCTTGTCTAAATAGACACGTGCGTCATTGAACATTAGTGAGCCTTCAACGTCGGTACACTTGGTCAATCGCGTCAGCGAGAGGAAGCTCGGGAGGTGGTGGGGGGCCAGGCGACTATGCACGTATACTAAAGCACATCGTAATGTGCCGTCAACATACTGCAGGAGGACTGGCCTCGTCGGGCTCAAAATTCACGGGGGGTGGGGGCGGCGGCGGTGACAGCGGCGGCGTCATTCCACTCGCGTCGGCCGATTCCTCGAAGCCGTCGTCGTCGTACATGTCCATGTCATTGTCCTCCGTAGCATCCTACACGCACGTGGAGAATGGACGAGAGATATACACGTCGGACTGGTGTTGCTTCGAACTCGTCGTCGTAGGCGTCGCTCGTCTCCACTGGAGGCACCTCTTTCTCAAGCGATGACTCGAGCGAGAATAGATTCTGCAGCAGGCGTCAGCATGACACACGCTGGGTGCGGTACGGGCACCTTCATCTTGGCAAACGCGCTTTCAAAGGGAGCCAACGTCTCTGTCTCGGCAGGCTTGTCAGCTGCAACGTCTGCGTACCGGAACGTCTCTAAAGCATGCGTTAACGTCAAAATGCGGGGGCGTCACTATGTACAACCTGCGGGCGCCGACGTGAACGCGGCATCGACAGTGAATGGTGCCTCAACGCTGGCCTACACGCGCTTCCAGCCCGCTCAGAGAAATGATAATGTACCTTGGTGAAAGGCTTTTTGGCGTACCCACCAACCTAACATAAATCATGGCTTGAAATGTCGAGATGGGCGATAGACCTACCTCGAAGTCTGCCGATTCCATTCCGAGCGAGTCGGAAGACTCATCAGACGAAGGCTGTTGCGCCGGTGGCGCTAGTTCTACTGCCGGAGGCTCCTTGGGCACAGAGGCAGCAGCCGACACCTCGACAGATGACTACGATATACGTGGCACGAGCAATATTTCATAGCCACCTAAAGAATATATGGGATACCGGAGCCACCGCGTCAGCGAGCGCACTTCCGTGGCGCTTGAGGATGTCCGCCATTCGTTCTTCAAGGCTCAGCTTGCGCGACTGTGTGACTGGCTTGGCGCGCGCTTTGGGCTTCTGTCGAGTGTCCTCATCGCTCTCGCTTGTGGCTGCTGGGCGCATCTCGAAGTTGTACGGGTCATCACTGCGAGCAGTTGCATGAGGCCTTGCAAATAATGCGCAAAACATGCCTATCCGCGAGAGTAGGGCGCGAAGCCTCTATGCATCGTGTCAGCAGCCACTCGTCAGCATACCGGTACAGTGAGCAAATACCTTCCGTGCTGGCTCGTCTCGATCTCTTCTTCTTCTTGGCCTTGGCGAAGGCTGCGTGCTCGTCGTCCGAGTCGCCTTCGAGGAACCTGCAGCAACGTGCCACGTAAGAGGTAACTCACGCCGTTGCCACGCGACCTTTCGAACTCATCGTCCGATGACATTGCGCTCGCCGTGCCGAAAATGAAAGGTGCACTTCTTCTTGTCCAGAGATATACGCACCCATAAATTGCACCGATGCAGAAAACGCACCTGCCCAAAGTCTAAGCGCCGCTTAGACTCTCGAACTTATCACCGCTGGCTCCGACAAAAAGACTTTGGTTTGATGTAAGCCGCCACGACCAACTTGCGTACGTTCTGAGGGTGAACAGAGGCGTATATGAAAGCACCCCCAACATTCTCTCCAATAGACCTTGACGATGGTAGTAGTAAGAATTACATGAAAACGTCTCCCTTGCCGAACCATACGGCTGATGATGACCTCCACCGGCTACACAAAACTGTAGTTTTGCGTAGCTGTACCTTGAGCTCAGTGACCAAACAAAAATCGTGCCGGGCTTGCTGGGTGGGCTACCAAGTCGCTAAAGATGGTCGCTCGGAAGTGTTGGCGGCTGTCTACCGCGCGTTCAAAGTGCGAATCTCGTGATTGTTGCTGAAAGCACCCCCACCGGTGGCTTTCATACTTACCGGTACGTAGATTTGGAAATGATCAAAAACCTGACCTTCCCACCGGTAGTTAGTTTCGAGCATCTTGAACGGTCGTTTTTATACGTAAAATTTTGTAAATATTTGCCGGCCGTTTTCATCGTGGTCGTTTTTAAAAATGATGGCTAGTAATTTCCGATCGTTTTTAAGGCCCATGCGCTGAACAATGGGCGAAGTCAAGGCATGAAGGCGCCATCAGACCGCAGCTCGTAGTTATCTACAGTCGAGGACAGCCATGCCTGCAACACAGAGATCTCAGATATAGCAGGAACTTCTCTGACAGCACTCGCATTGAGCGTTTTAGACAAATAATCTGCACAAACAACGTCGCTGCGCCCGGTGGCATGCGGTTTGCTCCTTCTCACAGCCATAAGCCACGTTGCTGAGTCTCGCTAAGCGTGACCACATTGACCATGAGCGGGACGGCCTACGTGCCTATGTAGTCGATGGTGGCGTCGGCGTCGTCGCCGTGGAACCAATTGAGGGCCTTGCTGTCATCGGAATGCTGATCTGTCAGCTGCTGTTTGGTCAACGTTTAGCAACGCCGTTGGTGAGCTCCGTTTCCATCGCCAACTGGCCGTTTCCAAAGCCACCCGTCGGCGATGAAATGAAAACGACCGTTGGGGATGCTCTTATAAAATTTCTAATATATCGCTCACCGGTTTTTTACGGTAATCTTTAAAAACGGTAGCCAGCGATTCCTAGGCGTATTGAATCTCGTGCCTAGCATAGGTACAGTAGGCGATTATGGAGCAACGCCGCTTTCATGCCCCAAAATCGCCTACATGTCCTAGTTACCAGTCGCTTGAGAATCGCTGGCATGTGCATGTAACTTACTGCAACGGCCCTCGACGTTAGAGTAAACCCTTCGAGGGCGCTCAGTTTCAGCGAGTTCGGCAAAATATCTGTAGAAAAAGCTGCTTCTGTAGGCTCCACGTTGACTTCTCATGAGCTGACTTGGATTCTTTACGGTTCGTTGATCAATGCGGCGACCGTCAGCATTCACATACATGATCGCGGAGAAATGTATTCGGAAAGCACATATTTTACATGACCCGAGCACAGTATTTTGCATTGCCTTCACATAAACAGGTCCCGTGCGGGGTGAGCTGGTAGGAACTTTTGAATATATATGAACGTGTTTCGCGCTATCTTCGTTGTTACAAAGAGTTCGCATACGTAGAGACCAGTGCGTAGAGACTAGCAATCTTCTTCTTCATTATATGTTCACCGGGCCGTGGCTGCGCAGACGGCGGCGAGGGGGCTCGTCTTGCTCTTCTGTCGTCGCCCGGGGGCGCTTGCGGCCGCGGGTGAGGCCCATGACGACACGCTGTGTAAAAGCCTTCAGGCTTTGCCGTCGGCGGCGAGCTGCGCAGTTTGTTGAGATCCTCGAGAGTCGCCAGCAACTGAGGCGGTGTCAACGACTGGAGGTCGCGGTGCAGGACGATCGGCAACGTAATCTTGGTGCGGCCTAAAAACGGGGTGCGTCGGGCGTGGCAAAGAAGCGGACGGCGGCAATGTTGGCAGGGACTTCTACACTCATGCGCAGCACGTGGCCCAGCAGGCGCCAGCGCTGGCGGGCGAAGATCGCGCTCAGCGGGACGCTATGACAGCGCTTGTAGAGCGCGACGTCGCCGAGCGTGTTCCGGTGAAGGATACCTAGAGGGCGGTGCAGCTGTCGGCGATGGAAGCTGTCAAGGCCCGCAAGGCTCGTTGGCGTCAGGGCCCACGTGCCACAGTTGAACTTTTGAATGCGAAGCACTGCTTACCAGTATTTGCGACGACGGCGCGTTGGCCTAGACAAAAGTCAACGCGCGACCTTCGCTGCGCTGCGGTGCGCAGACTTTTCCGGGCCAACGCGCCGTCGTCGCTTGCTGCAGTCTTCAACGTGGCATCGCACCTGGGTCATCTGGGTCACGTAGTTCTTCCACAGCATCTTTGACGCCTTCGTCATGAGTCGAGTTGGCCTCCGTCGATAAGGTCGCAGCGGGGGATTGCTCACGCTTCGCGAGTCTTGCCTTCCTTCGGGTCTCTTGCATCCTCTGCGCTTGCCGCTCTGGAAGGGCTCCGCCTCGTCCACCGTTCGTGGCTTCACCTGCTTCCCATGATGCCCCATGGTTCTAGAGGGTGTCCTTGCCATGACGGTCGTCTCCGCGCGCTTCCGCTGTCCGGAAATCAACGCGCGCTGATAGGCTCTATTAGGTGCGGCTTCGACGCACTTATAAATGTACCCCTTAGAAGTGCGTCGTACTTATTTTATACAAAATCGAGTATAATGTGAATCATGTGACAGCACTTAACAGGAACTCCAAAATCGCACTTGACAGGACGCGTTCCGCGCGATGCGATTGGCTGAGACCGATGAAACTGCGTTTCATTGGTCAGCAAATCTGGAATTATGACCAATGGGTTGGCCGGATTGAGACACGACAAGCCGAATTAATCCCCTGGGATGCTGGTACACCACGTAAACGTTCCTACCAGGATTACCGGTATGCACATTGTGTCATTTTCGAACATGCACTAACATTTACTAGTATATGGATTTTGAGCAGAAGCGACGCAAGTCGGAACGGGTTGATACTCAACGTTTATAAGGCTTGCTGGGTTCAACTATAATAGATGAGCGCTGATCTGCGAACGTTCACTTCGACTTCCGTCCCCTAGAGATGTATGCGGCTCCTAGTGGTCACAAGTTGTTCGCACAAACTAGAAAATAGTCAGTCATTAATACACCCACCACATGAATAACGACGAAATGAGCGCAAATTCCAAAAATGCTACTACTACCAAACGGTATCAATGATCACGATAATCGATTAGTTCAAAAGTAATTGTGGATGGGCTCGCGCTGGTTTACGAACACTCCCTGGTCCCTGCGCGAATGGTAAAGTGACGAACGAAGGACCCACGCACACCAAGGTGCGCTCATCGACGATGAGCAGAGAGAATACCGCGCTCTCGCATTTTGCGACGCTGGCGTCGCCCAATGGGATGCTCGACCTCGCGGATCTCTTGGTGGCGCCGCCGACGTCCGTGTGGTCACGAAATCAGCGCACGCGCCACGGCTGGCCAGAACGTACGACGGGCGTCGGCTATCAGCTACCAGAGCTGCCAATAAGACCACAATGTGCAGTCTAGGCGGCGAGTACTCCGCTCCTGCGGCGGACGTCGCCGTCGTGAATGCTTACTTCGGTCGCCGCGATACTATTGGCGTCGCCTCCGATACCTGCGGTGCTACTAGCTTCGAAAGAGCTCGCGAGGAAGGACACCGACTGGACACTAACCGAAGTAACGCGCGCTTCCGGAGACTCCGTAGGGGTCGAACGAGGAACTGCTCCATCACGTGTAAAGGAACGAGAACGCTCGGCCTGCGGACGGCGCTCTACCGTGCATCAACCCAGTGAACGGTAAGCAACGACCGTGTCGTCGACGAGAGCACCTACTGCTCGCACCGTGTGCGCTTTGGCAAATGGAGATGTCGATCGGCACGCCAAGAGCCTAGGGGCTCGTGCCCGTGGTCTGCTGGACCCGCGATTCCGGCAGCGTGTCGAAGACGTGATAGAAACCAAGTAAGACCAGTTCGGGACACCAGAAGGAAAGCAGCCGTAGCCCGACATGATCTTCCACCGTCCGGTTGTCCGCAACTAGAACACTGTTTCCGAGCAAGAGGAAGTGGACAAGACCAACTTGTCGAGCACAGCGATACTCCGGGTAAGGCGCCGCGAGGACAACGACGTGGCGGCCCTCGTGCGCGCGCTCGTGGGGTAGAGCGTCAATGAACAGCGACCATCGAGGCAAAGTTTCATACCGCACCGGAGCCAAGAGCGGAATCTCTCAGCCATGCTCAATCCGGCGCGGCGCTCACTTCCGCCCATGGATGTCGTGCATGAGTCTTCCGATGACCAGGCCTTGACAAGCAGAAGCGGCATGTGTGGCAGTAGATGCCTCATACAGTGGTTGAGCAACGGATATTTGTATCTGCATAGCTCTACAACCACTAGATCGAGACAAGGCGATGTGTTTGTATTAATCTATCATTACTCTGCTTTTGTCGGGCGACACTCTGTTGAAAGCACTGGCTCCTCCATTTTTGCGGGCGCAGGCCCGAAAAGTTCCTCTATCCAATCTTTAGATCCCATATTGTT